TAGGCAGACAGAGCCATAAAATAGCCACCTTTGCTCAGGTTACCTTTTACAAGCCCATCAGCAAGGTTCAATTGCAGCCCATGTGCTCTGCTGTCACCACGGACGCAATTCTTTCCGAGTCCAAAGGGTACTGCTGGACAACTGTTAGCCAGAGCCTCTACAAGGCTAACAGTTGTTGTAGACTAAGGACTAGCTCTGTAAGAAGGTACTGCCCCAACATCCATATTGAGAAGGCAGACTAAACCTGTATCAGAAATAGTGTGGCCAGCAGGAGTAGGGAAGTGATCGTGCCCCTGTATTCAGCACTGGTGAGGCCGGCCACACCTCGAATACTGTGTTCAGTTTTGGGCCCCTCAAGTTGGACTTGATGATCTTAAAGGTCTTTTCTAACCTAAATGATTCTATGATTCTATGATTCTAATACTCCAAAACCATGGCCTGTGGCCAACATAGGTTCATATTATCAGTGTTGTAGGAAAAATGTACATTCCTTCACATTGATGGGAGCAAATAATGCTTCCTATAGGACTCAGTGACCAGTGGAGGCAGAAGCCTTGGCAGAGAGCTGGCACAATTGCTCATGTTTCCTCTTCACTTAGAGGAGACTAATGGATTACTTTAGGCGTTGTCTTTTTGATATGCCTTTTTTACATCTGCTTTATTGATCAGAAGAAAAAAGTTTATAAAATTTGCCTCACTTTGGATTTTCAAAGCCCTACAAAGCTCTTGAATAGTGGGATCTATTTTTCAAATGTCTGTTGAGATTTGCAATATTTTTTTTAATATGCCAGCTATAAGAGTGTGTTAGTGCCAAGGATTTTAGCCACAAATACATTAGTCTTCCAGCTGCATGCTGTTACTGACTTAGATTAAATTATGATTGCAGGGGCATTAACTCAGAGTAAATATGTTTATTCCTAACTCACATACTAACTGATTCAGATTAAAGTTAGATCATATGATCCAAACTGGCCATTTGTCAGTATTACACATTTATCAGCAAGGCTTTTTTACTATTTGTTCTCCTTACTTCTAGAAAAAAATATAAAACAAAACATTCCTTATATCAAGAGTTAAGAATGACACAGTTTACATATAAAATAAGCATCCTAAAAATAAATAGATAAAATACTTTGGAAGAGTAAACACAGTAACAGGTAATGCTGAAACCAAAATGTGATGAAAATTTTCTTCAAGTATTGTCTGTTATCAGCCAGGTTTCTCTTTATTCAGAAAGAATTATAACAAGGAAGGGAAAAAATGGCAAAAAATAATGTATACTCTCATAAGTGCATGGAAGTGTAGTCCTGGAAAGAGGGTCTTGATACCATTGGTAATAATTTAGCAGAATATGCATTCCTTGAACAAAAATACTCTGCTTTCAATGTCCACTTGAATTTGTTACAGCATAGGAGAAGATGTTAGCAAAGGCAGTTGTTCTTCCACCGCTGCTATAAAAGAGTCCATATAGAGTTTTTAATGATGCTTCTTCTGAGAGCATCTTCCATAGCTGCAAAATATCTATATATGTATATCTTGCAGTGAAGGTATTTTTTGTGGATTTAAATGAGGTCTAGAGCAGAATCTGAAGAGTCACTGTGAACATGGTAACTGTGGAGTGCAATATGTCATGTAAATCTAATTAAAAACAGTGCAACTACTGAAGATGCATGATGGTAAAAGAACTGCTTGTTTAAGGGATGAGAAAAGCAAACTGACACAGCAAGAGAAAGCCCAGCTAGAACGCAATCTGACTGCTGTCGTTAGAGACAACAAAAAATGTTTTTACAAATACATTAATGACAAAAAGAGAGCCAAGGAGAATCTCCATCCTTTATTGGATGCGGGGGGGAACATTGTCACTGAGGATGAGGAAAAGGCTGAGGTACTTAATGCCTTCTTTGCCTCAGTCTTTAATAGTCAGACCAGTTATCCTCAGGGTATTCAGCCCCCTGAGCTGGAAGACAGGGACGGCGAGCAGGATGAACCCCCCATAATCCAAGAGGAAGCGGTCAACAACCTGCTATGCCACCTGGACGCTCACAAGTCTATGGGGCCGGATGGGA